GGGGGAGTAAATTTGAAGCACAGAAGCTATTTAGGGGGCTGTTTTATGTGAAAGACAGTGGTGGCCACAGGACTGTTGAGAAGGTAATAGATTTGGGAAGTGGGGAGGATGTGATGTTAATAAGCCTGGTGATGGAATGTGGAGTGAAGGAAAGAGATGATCTGAATTACTTTGATTTATGGTTTGGAAAACTGGGCTTACATAGCAAACCCAGACAGCAGAAGACCCCTTAGGGTTGAGGGAGGGAGGGGAAGGCAGGGAATTTAATTTGGGATCTGTTGCTTTGGAGGAGGCTCAAGACAACCAATGGGGTATGTTCCAAATCTTAGGAGAGAAATCTGGGCTGGAAATAAAGATTTGTGATTCATCAGCTCCTAATTAGTCTCAATGACTCCTTTGGTAATTGAAACCTTTGAAGTGGCGGAAGTAACTCAAGGAGAGTATGTAATGAGAAGAAAAGGTTGGTGAAGGACCATGGGGAGCTTTGCACTTAAAGGAGAGCTGGGCAGAGGGCCACTCACAGGAAGCTGAGAGCAGTGGTTGGAGAGGTGGGTGGAAAGCTGGGGGCACCAAAGACAGTGGGATGTCACCATCTGTGCAATTGGCTTTGTGCTGTGTCCCCAGCCAGGGCACAGGGCTGAATCCACACAGGGCACAAGTGACAAAGTCAGCAGCCTACCTAGCAGTCCCATTTATTTAGTTCAATGTTTGAGGAATGAGAAATAGGAGATTACCTGTTTTTTAACTCTCAAATAGTAAACATGTATTTTGTTTGCTGAGAGTATTTTTCTTTATTTACTGGTAAACCTTTTGTTTTATCTGTTAAGTGGAAGAGATGGTACTCCTAGAATGCACAGGGGTGTGAGAAATTGAATGGATGAACATAAGTATGAAGTGCTGAGCCTAACACACAGCTATTCAGAGGGTGAGAGTTGTTTTATCTCTGCCTTCATCTCTCTGTAGTGTCAGGTTTGGAATCCAGGCCTCAGCATGCGAGGCTAGCACTCTACCACTGAGCCATGTCCCCAGCCCTCTTCTTTCTTAATAAAGAACTTAGGCCTCGTAAAATTAAACTGTGTTGTTTTGGAACTCAGGTTTTTTATGCAACAGATTTCCATGAAGAAAAAAAAATTTAATTATTGATTGAATTGTACAGTTATAATTAGAATTAGGTTCATAACAAGTAGGAACACTGTCTGATAAACTCTCAAACAAAAACAAAGCCAAAAATTGTTCTTGTTATCCCCTTGTTGAATCTGGCCTTCTGTTTGAAATTAATTAGATTTTTGGATAACTATGCTAAACTTTGTCACATCCTTATTAAAATTGCTTAAGGATTTTGAAGAACATCTCAGAGGGACTCTGAAACTAATATGAGCCTGGTACTGGAGATTCCATTAGCAACCGCAAAACTGATTAATCTTTTACCCAGTTAGCTTATTGATTATTGCTGCAATTACTGCATGTGACAGATTATGCAAGGCATAGTAGCAGAAGACACATTTTAGAACTGCTGCTCATATATTCAGTTTGAGCACAACATTCTGTACTTTCTACACATATGTTTGCATTTTTGAATGCTACAACAGGTCTAAGATGGAAAGTACTGTGCTTAATATTGCTTCACTGTTAGAGGTTCACTTTTTCATTTCTAACTAATATTTCATTATGGTTTAACATGCCTTTTAATTCTATTACTTTCAGTTTAATTTTTGAGTCACATAATAATTCTTTGTGACAGGGTAGATATTTTTATGCTCATTTGAAGAAAACTAAGGTTGTTCAGTAAGGTTAAATGACTGCAGAAGGTTACACAAGCTAATGAGTGACAAAATCAGGATTTAACCCCATTTCAATCAGTAAATATTTATTGAGCACCTACTGTGTGCAGAGCTTTGTCTTGAGGTAATAAAAACCAAGGCAGGATTACAGAGGATAAGATAAAGAAGTTGTTTGTATAACTTCAAGTTGTGGCCTCGTTACATTGCTGGTCATTTTGTCACTTTTCTGTTCAAGCCATGTATCTTGGTGTATAAGTTTTAGGGGTTTTGTTTTTTTGTTATGGTTGTTTTCTCTTTTGTTTCTGGCTAGTAGAAGCCTTGCCTTTGTCATCACTGATTATTCTTATCACTATTTAAAATCAAATTGGAGAGAATCCCCTTAAAGAGTATACTAAAAAGACATGGAGACAGAATCAAGATCTGAAAATGGCTCGATTTGCAGTTTATTAGTTGATGTCTTTTGTTCTCATGTGAGTCTTACAGCAGTCCTCTGGGTAGACCTCATCTTCACTTACAGCTGTTGCTTCTCTGGGATCATGTGCTGTGGCCACTGGGAGTGAGCCCTCTCACTCCGCCAAGTGCCTTGCTCATCTTACTGGGCAGCAAGGCCCTGTGGTCTGGTGGGACTGCTGTATGCTGAAATGTACCACGTATGTGCCACATTTTATCCTTGTTCCATAGGGAACGCTGCATCTGCAGTGGCCTGAGCTCTGAAGCCTGGTACCTTCTTGGTGTTCACCTGTCCCTCATGAGACCTGCCTGTCAGAGGTCAGCTGTGTGTAGTGAATCACACTGTGGGTTTGGTTGCCATACTTCATGGTGTGTCCTTTATGGTGAATTTGCTCTGTGGAATGCAAGATTCCTCATTCATTCAAACACAGACTGAACCCAATATGTAAGTAGGAGGAAGGAAATAGACTTGGATTTGGAAAGGTTGTAAAAAAGAAGGGGGGAAAAAAACCTAACTGCTCTAGGTAAATTAGTAAGTAGCATATAAAATATCATAACCATGATAAGGTTAATCATACTACAAATCATATTACAAAGATTATGTTAATCATAGATTGCTTAAAAATTCTCACAGTGGCTATAAAAGTACATGTTATTTGCTAGTTGGGTCTGCACAAACCTAAAATGAAAGGAAACCATTTTTATTTATTTGTTTTGTGAGATAAATAAATAAAGCTGGAAAACAGGTCAATTTCATGCATGCAAGGTTTTATAGTAGGAAAAAAAATGCATTGCACCTATTCTGACCCTTTACATTTGAGGTTATTTGTTTTCAAACTTGACCCCAAGCACCAGTTTCAGACAAGTCTATAATTAATTTGTTAGATAAAGCATAAGGATATTTGATTTTTTTTTAATTTCTAGGATGGTGATGAAATAGTAACTGGAATTACTAACCTATTGTACATAGCAGTTAATTAAAGAAGAGCATTAACGATAGGAGAACACCACCACTGCTGTTGTCTTGTATCAGTATAAAAAGGCAGTAATTTTTTTGACAGCCACTGATTGGAAAGTTGCTTGCAGGCTTCCAGAAGCAAGGGGGTACATGCTGTGGATCAATAACCGGCAAATTTCCCATTAAAAAGAATACCTGAGCAATGTTCCAAATAGCCACTGGCATCTTAATTTTCCATGGAAACCTCAAATACTTGTGTGCCGAGGACAAGTCATTTTCGGACAATTTTTCCAGACTACTTGTTAACAGTTATTGCTGTCCCAAAAGGTTGACAGCCAACATGATTGATATTTCACTTACTTGTCATCACTATTTGAGTAATGGCGAGTGCTATATTTCTGTGGTTTTGATGAACAGAGGCTCCTGAAAGACATTGCCTTAGTGGGTATTCGTAGAACGTGTTGCATGTCTTTACTCTGTAGGTATATAAGTTTTTAGTTCCATAGAAGGAAAGGATCACATTCCTTTACTGTTTGAAAGCCTTGCAGTGCAGGGGACACTCATATCAGTCCACAGATATAAAAAAATCCGCCTTTACCTTATTTGTTGCTGTGGCAAAAGGCATAGGCTTATTAACTTATAATTCCCAAGATGATGTAGAATTTTATGACTCTCCTTTATTCCTAAGGAAAAAAACCTTGGTCTTGTAATAATTCTAATGTTCATAAAAGAAATAGGAAGATATATATCTTCTTTTTTTGTGTGTGTGTGTGTATATGTGTGATGCTGGGGATCGAATCCAGGGCCTCATGTGTGCGAGACAAGCACTTTACCCTCCGAGCTATATCCTCAGCCCTATGTATATCTTCTAAATGGAAACTTTTTTAGAATGTCAGCAAATGATGATAATCAAGGAATATGTTTCTTGAAGTTGTGCAAATAATATGTTTTAAGTATAGAAATAGCAAGGATAAAAGAGGAGTTCTTTTTACAGCCCCTCAAAGCACAAAATCAGTGGTTTTCATCGTTGCTATTTTTCCACTGAGAACATGATTTTGTTGTTTGTCCAGCATTAAGATAAGTGAGAACACAGAAGCCACCCCTGAGTTAGGTGGGCATGTATGCACCAACTAGAATATCAAGGAAATGGGAATCAGGCCCAGTACAAACTACTTTATGATTTGTGTTCATGAAGGATTTGTGTTTTACTTAGCACCATAATTTTACAGTGAAATTCAGTTTATTCTAAAGTGTTTATAAAGCTAACACATTATGAAACTAGACTCGCTTTTATCATATTAATCCTATTATTCTTTGGATGAGTCATATCTTGCTTGATGGTTCCACAGTCCCTGTGACTTAGATTTTTCACTATCTGTAGGTTTTACACTCAAATATGCGTAATGTTTGATTAACTAGCTAGTACATCAAAGCCAGAGGTGAAACTTTGTCATTTTGCCTTCCAGAATCCAAGGGAAAAGGACAACAGGCAATTTGAGAAATTTCCATTAAAATGCTTTTTGTGTCATTTTAAATATATTTCATTAAAATATTTCTTAAACCAAAAACTAATATGTAGTCTTAAGACTTGTAAAGGTAAATGGCAGTTTAGTGGATAGCGCTGTACTGGACTTTTGGTCCTGAATAGATTCACTTTAGTCATTTCAGTACACAGAAAGGGAGAAAGTATTCTCAAGGCTGATATGTGTATATCAACAGACTGCAACAGTAATATGAGTTAAATAACCCCTAAGTGTTTGTTCCAGTATTCATACATTACTGAGTAATCTCTTTCTATAATCTCTTTGCAGTATTATTCCACAGTAATGGAACAGCAAGTAAATGGACAGTTAATAGAGCCTCTGCAGATATTTCCAAGAGGTAATGTTGAACAAATTCTAATCAACAATGATTATTTCAGTAAACTGTTTCATCAACAGTTATGTTTTCCAAAGGTTTAAATGCACATAGCATGATGTTTAGCTCTTAATTTGAAAAAACAAAAGAAGTATTCATTATCGTGGGGATTGCAGGCTATATTATAGTTATAGCAGATAAAATATCTAATTTACTAGAGTAAATTAAACTAACTAGATTGTTTTTTGTTTTTGAAGTATGTACTTACATTCGCTTAAAGAACTCTTTGGGGGTCTGCATGGTTTCTAAACCAAGGCAAATGAATGACTTTCACTCTGGATATTTATAAATCGTGGCTCACAATGGTGGCTACAACTGCTATTGAGGAAGAAGCCTTCGGCTAGTGTGGCAGCTAAGATGTGCAGATATGATTTGTGTTTATTTATTAGGAGAAAAATATGGATGGAATGTTTGGTGCTTGGTTTTGGGAGGAGGTATTTTCTAAATAATAGAAAATTTTCTCAAATGGAAATTGTATTGTCAAGTTGCCAGAAATAAGAGCTGATGAGAGTGAGTCTCAATGAATCACCTGGAAAAATAATTCCCTTTTAGGTTTGTCAGCACTAGCCTTGTATCAGATACGATCATTCAACTGTGTATGAAGTTCCCTCAAAATTTGAATAATTGTGAAGAAGAGCAGTTTAATTATATAAACCATTAAGTCTTTTACCTGTCATACATTGCCCCACTTGGAATCCATGTTTTCTAACTAATGGAACAGATAAGGAAATTCTCTAAGTAACTCTTCTAGAAATAACTTAATTGAAATAATTAAAAGTTAAACTTACCTTCGTTAACTAATACTGTACAAATAATCATGGTATGAGTTTTCCAATTAAACATTCTAGACATTCATTACCTGTAACTCTCTGAAGTTTGAATGGCTCAATTAACCAGTAGGCTCCTATTTGCAGTGATAAAGTCTCTGAAGGCAGCTAGCATGGCCAGTCCCTGAGAAGATCTGGGTTCAATGGTAACACTGTGCTGCCAGTGTTTGTGTGGGCAGCAGGGTCAGGAGTGCTTGTTTTGTTATTAGTAGTCACTTACTAAAGTGCTAAGGAAGTAAATAAAATTGGGCCATTTAAGATCAATGATGTCCGAAACAATGATTATGATTAATTCAATTCTGTTGTACTTGAAGACTAATTACCAAAACAAGGAAAAGAGAGAGAAATGTTGCCATTTCTGTGTATTAGGCTACTAACAAGATGGGGATTATTTCTTAATATTCTTAGTGGAGAATTTGGATGCCTTTCAAAATTGTTTCTCAACAAGGACTGGGTTTTGTTTTTTCAACAAACTGGGAATTTCCATTAATTGCTTCAGAGCTCTGTTATAGCAAACTAAGTACAGTAACCTGGAGAATTATAGTTCCAATGCTGTAGGCTCTGTTTTTTTTTCGATACTAGAGACTGAACCCAGGAGTACTTAACCACTGAGCCACATCCCCAGCCCCATTTATTTATTTATTTATTTAGGGGTATGGGGTTGAACTCAGGGACTGAGCCAAATCCCCAGCCTCTTTTGTATTTTATTTAGAGACAGGGTCTCCCTGAGTTGCTGAGGCTGGCTTTGAACTTGCGATCCTCCTGCCTCAGCCTCCCAAGCCACTGGGATTACAGACGTGCACCACTGTGCCCAGCTTTATTTTTTATTTTGAGACAGGGTTTTGCTAAGTTGCTTAGGGCTTTGTTAGATTGTTGAGGTTGGCTTTGACCTTGTGATCTTCCTGCCTCAGCCTCCAAGGTGCTGGGATTATCAGCATATGCCACCACACTCAGCTGTTTTTCTTTTCATTGTAATATTTATTTTTCTTCATCTGAAATCTTCTCAAGCTCAATTTGTTTTCTTTCATCTTATGAGAAGTCTTGTCAGTTTCACTATTCATACCATTGTGCCCCTCCTGTAGTAGTAACAACCATTTTTAGATATCTATTCTCTTAGGTAAGGTGGCTCACACATGTAATCCCAGTGACTCAGGAGGCTAAGGCAAAGGGATTGCAAGTTCAAGATCAGACTTAAACTTATTGAGAACCTCAGCAACTTAGCAAGACCCTTTCTCAAAGTACAAAATAGAGGGCTGAAGATATAGCTCAGTGTTAGAGTGCCCTTGGGTTCAATCCCCAAAACCAGGAGAAAAATAAAAAAAAAAAAAATGAATCTTTAGACTGAACAAATTGGAAGGACAGGAGAAAATGATTCTATTCTAGAAATATGCTCTCTTCGTTCCAGTTACCTTGAATTGTAATTTTCAGCTCATGACCAACTCTTTCCCACAGTTAAAAGATGTGTTAGATATATTAATAAGTATGAATATTCACTAGCATTACAGTAACTTCTGCCTCCCTGGATTTTTTGAATGCTGCTTAGATTTTCGATCATAAAGATTGGAGAAAGCAATTGAGAAGAAGCAAAGCAAACGTTAAGGTTAGAGTTAAGAGTTGAAGCCTGGCTCTCATCCTTCATCAGCCACTTTCTTGTACTAAATGAAGTTTATGAAATGTTCTGGTTACTTCAGCAGAAATGTTTTGAAGTATTATCTTAGGAAGTATTGATGGTCCTTCAAAGACTAGGCATCAAATGTATATGACTATTGTTTTGTTCAAAAAGTTAATTTCAATTTTAAGGAAAGAAGATTTGGAGTCTTAATTTGAATGTATTTTAGAAAGATAAGAAAAACTCTTTATTATGGTTTAGCTTGTTTTCTAGGAAAATAAGATAGTAAATTTGAATTTACTTGAAATACACAAAATGAAGGCAACTCAAGCTTTGTAATTATTACCCACATCTTCTTATTATTAAGAAGCTCTATTTGTTGTCAGAAACAGAGGAAAAATACATATACATTGAAAGGAGCAAAAAAAAAAAAAATCAAATTCATCCTTCCCCAAACAATCAATCAAAATTGACAGCCCTTTTATAGGGCTCCTTAGTTTTCAAATGGAAGCAGTTCCTAGCATGGACAGGAAGCTTTTGTGTTTTTAACATTTGATAAAGAAGCATTGGAAAAGTGATAACTTCTATCTCAAGATGGTGTCAGAAAATTAAAATTATTTTGAGTTTTTAAATTTTTAGTCCTAAATATTAGCATGTTTCAAGACTTGCAAGAAATGTAATAAAATTAATTACATATCTATATTTTCCAAATGTTTATGGCTGTATAAAGTAGTGTTCAAACTTAAATATTCCATCTTAGAGTCTCTAGCTATCTTTTGGCATTAAAAGATTCTCTCCTACTCCCCTTCCAAAAACAAAACAAAAATTTAAAAAACTTAGCTATTTTCAAAGTAGTCTAAGTGATAGCAGATTTACTCTACAATAGAGTGAAAGATTACAGAAATTTGAATTATGAAAGGAATATAATCATTTTAGCTCAGTTAACTTGATTTTTATGTTTTAAGCAGAAATTGGAATTTATATGAGGTGGTGTCAGAAAGCTCTTTGCATTTATAAATGCTCACTCCTGCAAGTTAAAACCCTGGTTCATAATTCCCACTTTGGGTCTTGGAAGCCACTTTTCAATCATTTCTCTCTGCTAATTTTGGTGTCACCCTCATTTCTTTTTAAACGATTCATTTTGAGCAAATTTGTAAATGGCCCTGATGTGTTCTACAATTTAGTCAATTACTGTTTCAGCCTGCAAGCCTCCTGGGGAACGGAACATACATGGCCTGAAGGTACGAATTTCAATAATTGTTTCAGTAAAGTTAGATGGATTTGTAATGCTGTGTTCCACTTATTGAAATGTCAAATAAAACTGCACTTTCTCAAGCTCTGACAAGCGATTCTTTTTTTTTTTTTTTAAATGGGAGTTGGAGGGGGATTCATCTGTAGTATTTGCTCAGCGTGTATATATATTTGGATATTGGGGTTTTGGTGCTGTGTTTTTAATTATTTGGAATTGTTTTCTTGGCCAGTTTCTTGAAGATGATCCTGGACACTGGTCTCTACAAAGGTTTACTGGAGTGAGAATACAAGCTTCATTTCAGAGATTGATTAAGCATTCAAGCATATTGCACACAGAACACCCCCTTCTCTTGACATATTTATGCTAGAAACACATATCTAGTTAATGTCTTTTCATTGTTCTGTGTATTTTGAATTTTGGAATTCTGTTGAAGGCTTCTCATCTAAAAGCTGGCTATTTTATTAGGCTCAGGTGTTTCATAATTAATTGCTTGGGCCTCATTTTTTTTTTTTTTTTTTTTTTGGTGAATAAGAAACAGTTTCCAGTGTACGCTTATAGAGCTGGGAGGTGATACCAGCTGGTTCACTACTAACCCCTGGATGTGTCTTCATTGTACTTCTTTGAGCATATATTTTTAAATGTGTTCTAGATGGTGAACTGATTTTTCCCTCTTTTTGTCTCTCCTTTTGCAGCCCTGTGTAAGTATTTGAATAATGGTAGGAATAGAGGATTATGTAATACACAGACTGTACAGTTCTGTAACCTATATGTGGAATAGATTCCAACCGTGGGTCTGTCTAGCAACAAGCTAATTAACCTTCATAGTGAAATGAGAAATTTGTGGCAAATTATAGGTTAATTAGAACTGTGTCCCCAGAACACAAAACTGATCAAGATTCTTTCTTTACTTATAGGTTAACACCCGGGCTGGACCCTCTCAACACACCAGCCCTGCAATCTCAGATTCACTTCCAAGCAATAGGTGAGAGTGGGCAATTGAAGCATGTCCACCTGTGATTATCTATGAAGTTGGGGGTAGTCTGGGGAAGGGGCTTGTGGGATGGTACCTCTTTCCTGTAAAACAAAAATGTATCTGTGGCCAGAAAGAAATTTGTCTGGCCAGATAATCCTAGCTCCATATTGGCTAAAGAGAAAGGACTTCAAATAGAAAGATGATGAAATTAGACATGTTAGATGATTAATTTTGGTTTGTGGGGTGATTTTCTGTCAGTCTCCAAATAATACAAAAAATTCAGTGCCTGTTTCACGTCTTGAAGGTCCAATTTGTAGATGGCATAATGCTTATTAATTTTTTCTTGCCTGCCCATCTTCTGGCAAGTATGGTTATCAATGGCATCTTCATCAGAAAGAAGCAGGGAGAGGTGGTGAGATTTGATGTGACCAGTTGTGTCGCTAACTGGTCATGTCTTGGGTCCTACGGGAGATCACAACTGTATAGCAGGAAGATCATTTTTGGGAATTCATACTAACATTGCCCCATACTGGGTCAGATGTAAGACACAAGCCTTTTCAAAGTGTCCTTCTCACAAGCCTGAGAAATCACTGCCAGGCTGTCATGGGCCACAGAAGGAGTGACATGCTTAATTTCGGTTGTGCATTTAGTTGTTCAGCCAGTAGACATCACATTGCTGTATTGGAGGGTGATACCCTGAAGGTGATTACTGCACATGTGTGGCTTCACCTTGGTGACTGGAAAGCCAACGTTGAGCTGGAAACCCTGGTTCTGGGGCCTTAGCCAGTGCGCACAGCCCTTTCCTGGCTGAGGCGTGTTCAGGCTTCTGCTTTCCCTTCTCTGCTTCTTGCTACCCCTTCACCCAGTCTGGATTCTCTGGCCCAGGGGGTGTACTGCTGTGATTTAAGTTCCTCCTCTGACTCCTGCTTTACTTACCTGTCCTTTCCTCCAAAATCACTTCATTATGGTGTCAGTGTATCTACCACCAGCTTCCCTGCTGTAACATGTAGCTTAAACAGTTTATTCCGTCTTACAGTACAGTTAGCCTGGGATTCCCCAGAGGACCATCTGCCTTGTGGTGACACTGGCAGGTGTTTTAGTTCTCCCCAGAGGGATAGGCCCTGCCAATGGTGCTTTGCAGCTTCTTTCTGCACGCTGGCCCTGTGAGCCATGGCCCTGCAGAGTTGAGGCATGGAGGCAGAGGGCCACCAGGTTCATGCAGCTCTGAGAAGACAAGGCATTTTATTGTTACCACTACTTTCAGGAAAGGTGCTATCCACAGACTGACTCTGAGCCCTGAGGTAGAACAGAGTATTCATAGTGTTTTAAGTCAGGTTTCATCAAGCAAAATGGAGTTGAAAAGATGGCAAGACAGAGAAGCAGGATAACTTTTCTGTTTTCTCACATTTATTTTAACAAGTGTGAGAATTAGCTTGGTTGTTCAAAAATCATCATGTGTATTCACAGAATATTGGGTTGGACAGAAGTTCGGAGGCCACCTGATAGCCTAGTGTTCCTCAGTCTTTTTGTCTGTGGCATTTTAACTTAGGAGAGAGATGATAGCCTCACAAATAGTAATAATAATTTGCTTCAGTAGTGATTCTTGTTAGGGAAAGAATGCTATTTGAAAAAGTCCTACAGGTGACTTTAATATGCCAACCTAGGTTGGCCACATTCTATGCTTCAGGTTGATAACTAGTCAATGGGTATGTATTGAATTCTTTATTCAGTAGGTGCTGTCCTATGAATTAGGAACACAGTGTTGTCCTTATCCACTGAGTCCACCATCTCATGGGTATATAGATAAAACAAAAGTATACATACATTTACGCTTGTAGTTAGTGTTGTGCAGG